CACATTTCATCGCCTATAATTTTATCCCGGACTCTTGATCTGTGGAGAAATAGAGAAGAACTTGTTGCGTTCTTGCGCACAAAAAGAAGAAAATATAATACCAACCCCCGCCTGGAAACAATCCGCACCTCCACGATGGCCCGCCAACCAGCGACCCGCCTTGACATCCTGGCGTTCCGCGACACGAGCTCCCGCACCACCTCAAACGCCCTACCGGCCACGGCGACTGCCGCAGAGCGCACGACCTGCTCTGCCCGAAGCCTCTCTTTCTCGGAGGCTTGTGCCCGAAGGATCTCGGCACGCTTGTTGGCGATAAACAGCTTCACCTGTCGGTTGTTGATCCGATCGGCCAATCAGATGCGTGAGACGAGACGAGTCGAGATGTGTACTAGGTACTGGGACAAGGGGACACAGTGGGGAATGTGCTATTTAACAAGAACATTTTCGCTTTCTGGAGCGACGACGGTTGGTATAGTCATTCAACTTTTGGCGGAGAGGGAAACATTCTTGTAGTTCCGTTGTATAGAGAAACAGAAGCATCTCCTCTTGAAGTGTCCGGCAGCGAAACCAGATGCACCGACGGCACCGCAAGAACAACAAAAAAAAAAAATACTCGAAATATGTGGGACGATCATAGGAGCAACCAGAAAGAACATAAACGCGGATATGATGGCGTCCCGATTCAAAACCAAACGAGGTCAAATCCGACTCAAGGCATGAACCTGTCTGTCTCATCCTCGTGAAACATGCAACCTCCAGCGTAACTTTGGCAGCGGAACCGAGCACTCCCAGCGCCCGCACACACTCCGCGGTGGCCAAACAACAAATCCTCCTCCGTGCTTTCAAACACAAACTACGTTACAACGCAAGATCCACACAGAGTCAGAGTCATAATGATACCGTAGGTTGCGCAAGATATCACACCCCCTGGACCGATTTTCAAGCTCGATTTCTCGGCAAGAAAAGCGGCGACGGTGCCGAAAATTGCAGCGTCTGAACCGTCTCGACTAGAGCTTTCCAAAAACGCATAATTTGATATCGGCATCCTCTTCGCCGTGGAGAAACCGAGCTTTGAATATCGGTCCAGGAGGTGTGGTATATTATCCAACCTACGGTAGGCTGAGCCCATGGAAAGGATTGGCATGGTACCGTACATATGCATACATACAAGGGCGACAACCCCCCCGGCCAACACATACAGCCCCATGTGAGTAGAACATCCAATCTACCGTGCATACCTTGATCTGGTGTTCTTCGATGGCCCTCTCGTCTTGCTTGCACTGTTCGCGGTCCCTCCTGAGTTTCTCCTCAAGCATCTTTTCACGCTGAGCCTCCGCAGAAAGGGTCAGCTCGCGCACCTAAATACCAAAAATCGACCCATAAAAAAGGGAAAGGCAAAACAGCAGTAGAAAAAAGTTAAATATGTGAGACATTCCTTCAAGAAAGTTATTTCCAAGTACGGGGTACTAAGAAAGGCTCAGTCTTGTTTAAAGGGGGAACGTTGACCACAGCAGGTTGTCAAGGAAGGCTTAATCTTGTTTAAAGGGGAAGCTTTGACCACAGGTTGTCAAGGAAGGTTTCGTCTCGTTAAAAGGAGAAACGTTGACCACAGGTTGTCGTTTAGCGACGAGTGACGGGTAGACGAGAGAACAGTCATGACGAACGCCATCCATCCTTGCCGTGCAACGTCGTGCAGCATTGTCGTCGTCGGTGTCCTTTCGAACAGGGGCCATGCACGACCACGAACCAACACCCTCTTGTCGTGGAACAAAAACAGACCCTTACAATAGCTGACAGGGGTGGTCGTGTAGCCCCGGCCCACAATACCTTGGCCTTTTAACACGACTACACCGGACGACTACAAGAGGGGGACTTTGGGCGCTGCCTTTCGTCTAGAACCCAAAAGCTATGAATGTTGTGGTTGCTGTTGCTGTTAAAGTCTACCGTGAAGAAATATCAACCCTGGGCGGCTGGGATACAAATAGCAGCAGCGCCATGGGCGAGGCACGGCGAAATGCCATTTGCACATCTCCGAAAACAACTATCGTAGCTTCGAAAAACAGCGATCGGCAAAGCATCAACGAGAGAGAATGCTGGACTACGCCCCCCGACTTGCGAGGACAAACCAAGCAGTGCGTGCAAGCCAGCTGGCAAAAAACAACCCTAACATACAGGCTGTTGCATGGGTGAGATGTTACAGTGGGCGGTCAACTAATATCCTACATCTCGTCGACAACCGGAGAGGCACGGGGGTGGAGACAAAAACGAAGGAAACGGGGCATTTGCTCTGTCTCTGCTTCTTACGTCCGCTTACCTCATCACGTCGAACAAAAAATGGTCGATTCCAGTCGTCCTCACCGCTGTCAAAGACAACTCAGACCAGCGAAAAACACAGCAGTATTTTCCCTTGCCCTTACCTTAGCTCTTGCTTCGTCAAGGGCAGCCTTCGCCCGCCTCGCCTCCTCCGCCGCACGCTGGGCCTCCCTCTCGGCCTCCACCTTGCTCTGCTCGGTCTCCAGCTTCTCGATCTCCAGCTGCAGCACGCGCGCGTCCGTCTCATCTTCCGCGCATCCCGCCGCACCACCCTCCCCCGAGGGCCCACCGCCCTCGCCGTTGCTGCCGCTGGTCGCGTCGCTTGGGGCCCCGTCGCCGCCGTTTTTCCTCTCCCGCTGCTGGAATTGTTCCAGCTGCTGTCGGAGCTTGATGGCCTCGTCCTGGGCCTCGAAGGCGACGTCCGCTAGCCTACGAACGCAGCCGAACCCCGCGCCACAAAGACAAGGTTTTTTACAGAATCGAAGGATTGCCGCAGACTAGAGGGGGGTAGGAAATCGCAGCGTTACCATAGAAAGAAGGGTTACATACCGAAGTGATACTACAAACACAAGGGGGGTAGGAAATCACAGTGTTGCCACAGATAAACAAAGGACCACGGTACAATAGATGGCAAGACAACAAGACGGAGGGATACACCAATGACGGCGTGTGATCTGAACGTAGTAGAAAGTGTTCTCTTGTGGTACCGAAGAGGGATCTGAAAGATTTCAGGGGAGGGTTTTGATCGAAGGAAGAATTGACGAAGACTCGTATACATTAGAATGGGTTCTTGGGGCCAAACGGACGTGTCTATTCGACTCACATGAGAAATTGGAGGGTGCGGCACGACCGCGAAAAAAGTGAGGCATCTGTTTGTAATTCGCGACGTGCACCAAAAAAGAACTATAATACGAGGAATCTACCAATCTACCATCGGTGAGGGAACAAGCAAACCGACCCTCAAAGTGTATTTGGCCGCGAGCGAGGGACGTGAGACTACTTTCTTGGTCGATTTTCCGAACACCCTTCTTAGACTGGATGGCTATGTACGCTTCCAGAAAACGAAGGTGAACAGCAAGAGAGAGCAGCTAGCTGGCAACAGAGCAGGAACAGTTCGATCCACAATGTTGGCATCTTCCCGATCTTCGAACGACACGGTTGGTGCAAGGACGATTCCATCGTACTCCACCAAACCACGTCCGTTGAGGAACTGCGCGGTGCGAAGCCAAGAATCCTTTCGACCGATTGCCACGACAAAGAACCAGCATACCACATCACAATTTCTACAACCTGAAATTCCTCTCGGGCTTCACCTGTTCCGTTCCTCGGCCTGCTTTGTGAGCCTGTCCGTCATGCATGCCAGCTCTTGGTGCAACTCCCCGATCCGCAGCCGCGCTTCCCCTTCTCCCATCGGCCCCGCGTCCCCCCTCTCGACCCGCTCCCCCCCCTCCTGAACAAAGGATTCCCGGGGCGGCGCAACCTGATCGGTCGGAGTCCTAGGAATATTGCTCCTGCTCGCGAAAGGGTCCCCCCCCGGCGCCTCCGGCGATCTCTCCCCTTCCACTCCGACCTCCGGCGTAGCCTCCTCCGGTCGAATCTCCGTGCCTGGGACAGCATCAGCATCTCCGTCTTGGGTGCCGTGGGCGACGGCACCATGGGTAGTGGTAACCCCGGCAGCCGCTGTCTCATCGGCAGCCGCTGTCTCGGCGACGTCTGTGGCGGGGGCAACGCCACGGGGGACCGCGCCGACTGCCGGACCGCGGGTAGGGGTGCGGGCGATTTTCTGCGAGCGGACGAAAGGATCGACACCCAGCTCCGCATCGGTCCTGCCGTTGCCAGACTCCCCGGGGCCCGCCGGCGCACCTTCTTTTGCCGTCGGCACCGTGTGCGAAGCCACCGGACCCGGGTCAGCCTCACCCAACGTCGACGGGGCAGCCATTCCGCCGGCACCTCCAAGAGCCTCTCCAGGCTCTGCAGCAGGAACTGCTTCGGATGATGGCGGTGCGCTTGGGCTCGCAGGGGGACCAGAAGTGTCTGCGGAGGATGTGATCGGCTCCGTACTGCTGACCGCGGGGCCGGCTGCAGCGGCGGCGGCAAAACGACCTCCGGAGGATGTGATCGGCTCTGTATCCCTGGCCGTGGGGCCAGCTTCAGCGGCGGTAGCGGCAGCGGCCGCAGGTTTGGCCCGCCTCGCCGCCGTAGCCGCGGCAGCGGCTTCCGCGGCCGCTTTAGCCTCGGCAACAGACGAAGCATAACGGGGTCTGGGAGGAGCTGCCCGGTTCATGGCTCTCGCGGCTGACGGGCCTCGGGGAGCAGGCTTGTGGTGTGCAGTTGGGGCTACGGCAGCATCGAGTGACTTCATTTGGGGCACCTGAAGGGGGCGGGTAGTGTCGGGGCAACAGAGCGGAGCGGTCACCCACGGGCGTCGGCATGTATGTGGGGAATTTCCGGCTGCAAGCCGGGCCGAAAAGCAGCAAAGATAGGTTTCTTCCCCGACTCTTGCATCCGAACACGCCGAGAGGAAAAAGTAACATCCAGAATGATTTGATGCCAACACAGCATATCGGGGGTATGAAGAAGATAGAGAGCAGGCGTGTAATTCCAATCACATGGTTGGTGCATCTACGGTTTGGATGGAAATATTTCCCGGGACGCGAAGATAAAATTCGAAACACGAACAGGGACGAGCGTGTCGGACAACGGGACAATCCTTTTCGTTCCATTTTTGATTCCTACCCCAGGAAATCTCTTGCGGAGTCCTGAGCATCATGCTGCTTGACTCGGCAAGCTCTGTCAACATGACAATACGGCGGCCCTCGAGACAAAACTCAAGTTGATCAGGCAACCAGAAACAAAATCGATTCGACTGTTGCTTGCTCCAAAACGACGGCAATCGCAACGCACCCACGAGCTACCTAGCTCCTCTGTAGGTGACACCGCCGTTAGCTACACCCACGCCTTTGTGCAACTGCCGTCTTCGTGTGTTCTCTCCCAGCAACGCACCTCGTTGGCAGGGGCACCGCGGCGTTCCATTCCCGTGGAGGGCGTCCTCATCGCCGACGTGAGCCCTTTGAAGGCCGCGGGGGTAAGCGCTCCACAGAACCCGCCTCCGCCCGGTCTCCCGCCGACAACATCGGGGGCCTTCGAAGAGCTACCCGCCAGGCTCCTGACGTTCGCCGCGTTGGTGAAGCTGCTGTCGGTGCTCACCGACGGCGAAGCGAGCCGGGCGGGGGAGCCACCGGCGGCAGCATCCCGCACTCCTGCCCGTTCTGGTGCTGCCGGCAGGGGAGCGTGCGCCGCCGCCGTCGCTGAAGGGACGCCAAAGCCTGACCGCTGCTGCTGTCGTTGGCTCTCCTGCGCGTCGTTCAAGCCCGCCTTGCTCTCGCCCTCCCTCTCCTCTTGCCCGCCGTTGCTACCGCCGCCGCCGTGCAAGCCGGAGTAGCCTCCCTCCGGGTTGGCTGCCACCTGCTGTCCGACCCCGGCCGCGCCTTTCTTCTCCGTCGATAGGACTGCGTCGACCCTTTGTGGAGGGGTCCTTGCAACCTTCGCTCTCCCTCCGAAGACCGATTCGAAGGCGGGCTCTGCTGCTACGGGTCCCCTGGAAGGGTCCTCGTCAGGCACCCGACCCGCCTCCGCCTCCGCCTCCGCCTCCGCCTCCGCCTCCGCCTCCGCCTCCGCCTGCGGCGGAATTCTGCTGCCGTTGGGATGCTGCTGGCCGACTCCTCCTGGCTGGCCTCCGAAAGCTGCCGGTTCCGGCGTCTTTGCCGAGAGTCTTGGCGCTGGACGTGCACCACCAGCTGCTTCCTGTCCTCCTCGAGGAGCGGAGCCCTTCGGCGGCGTCCTTGCCACCTTGGGCGTCCTCGCGAAAGCGGCGAGCATCTCTTCCTCTATTCGCTTGGTGTCGGCCGCAGGGGTGGTGACGATCTCGCCAACAGCACCACCACCTTGTCCCGCTGCAGCAGGAGCACCCGAAGAGCCACCGCCAGTGGGAGTGCTCACGCTGGCAGCAGGCGGCGAACGCGCCGGAGACGCCGAGCGTGCGAAGTGCGAGGAGCGGGGGATTTTGGTTACGGAGGGGGATGCGCGTGCTCGAGAACCGGGCAACCTGTTGCCGGTCTTCGAGGACAGAGGCGTCCGTGGCAGTTGACGCTTCGTACGGAAGGGGTCTTTAGGTGGCGCGGCGGCTGGGGCAGGTGCACCCACGGGAGGGATGCCGCTGACTCGCTGTTGCTGCGGCCGTCCTCCAGGCGTTTCCATGGGCTTGGACTCGGTCTGTTGCTGGGGCCCAGACGCTTGTGTTCTTCCGGCGCCGCCGTTCCACGGACGGAACATGGCTACGACTGTCGCAAGACGGACAGCGTTGAGGTTGGCGTTGCTTTTCTCTCGGCTTCCCTTCCCTGCTGCCTGCCGTGAAGCCAGGCAAATGGGCGTGTGTCTGTTGCCGGTTGCAACGTTGCAACGGCTGTGTGACGGAGTGACGGCAAAAAATGCCCAACGGCAAGGTTGGATGATGGTTCTCGTGCGTACCCTAAACATATCCATCGCGTACCCCCCCCCCCCCGCAGACTCCTTGTCAGACATTCTCTCAACTCTGCCTTGGCCCCGTATCGGCCCTCTCGCAGCCGCAACTTGTGCTACCGGATGATGCGCTCCTGTTATTTGTGCTGTGGTGGTGGTGGTAGCGCTGGCTCAAAGGTGTGAACAGCAGTGAACAATCCAAACTCCTGAACATGACAGTCCGGCTGTACGCTGCCTGTCTGTTCCGCAACATGACAGCGGCTCTGCGTCTAGGGTCTGGGACTTGTGCAATGGAAACAAAGCCCAGCATCATCCCTAGGGGATGGAGCCTTGCATGTCGAACACAGCATGGCGCCGTTCAATTGAGCAACTCATAGAGGGTCCGCTTCTTGGTACTCCAAAACTTGCGTGTTCAGCAGTATCCAGGTTGCAGTTGTCATCGTTTCCACAGAACGAAGCGGAGGTGACGGTTGTGGCTTTCGAACGGGGTCCACAAGCCTTCAGCGTAACCCCCAGCAGTGAAGACACCCGAATGACGACATCTCTTGCCTAAAATAGCCTCTCTGGTGTCCATTACTGCATCGAGTTTGGTTGCACTGCTGTCTGCGCTTGTGCAACAGCAACTACAGGTGCAGCAAACCTGTAGGTTACCACAAAGGTGATTGATTAGCTAGGATTGCCTTGGGATTGATAGGGGAGCGTAGATGACATCTAACTCCAATCTCAAGCGATAACCTAACACCATGCGTAGGCTCTCATGATCCTGCTGATCTTGATCGCACAACCCGCGTGTCACCACACCTTTTTCTCACCCAGACCCTCCAAGCGTGCGTGGCGATGGCATTTCTTATCTCTCCCTCGACGGCCTTCCTCCCAGCCATCTCCTCCGCCGTCATCGTGCGACACATACGGCGAACAGCGTCAGCATCGTCAATCTCAGCCTCGCACCGCAAGAGAGAGGCCACAATAACGGCCTCGCAGCGATCGCTCGTGTCCCTGTCCGCCGCCGGCACCGATGGCGCAAAAGATGCGGCCGTGCGCGCTGTGCAGGCGGCCGACGAAGCGTTAAATAAGGCGGCGCATGACGCGGGTTCAGCCGCTAGCCGAGATGAGGTACAGGCCACCGTCGCTGCTGCCCGCGCTGCCGCTCGTAGCGCAATGGAGTCGTTGCGGAGGGACCCGGGAACGTTCGGAGGAGGAGGGCTGGGAGACGAGGCGGTGCAGCAGGCAAGCTGCGTGTTGGCGGACTTTCTGATCGTTGTCTTTCCTGGTTTGCTGCATCAACGTTTTTGCCCTCGTGACTTCCATAGCCTGCTCTGTATTGTTTCTTCAAACTACGTACATACACCTCGTAGCCCAGTGCTGACACGCGTCGAAATCTCACATCATATTGGCTTAATTTCTACCCATAGGAGACCGTGCATATTGCCCCCGCCCCTGCTACGTCCTATCGAGGACGCGTGGCCAATGGTCTAACGGCCAAGGCAGCAACACATGAGTTCGCCCCCCCCCCCCCCAACCCCCCTTTTTTTTT